TAATTTTGAATTGAATCAACATGAATAGTTTGAGGTGTTGTTGGTACTTATTTTATTTGTAGAGTGAAAATAGGAGATAGGTATTATTTTCTACATGTTTCGTTCGTGAATATGAAGAAAAATGTAAAATGATATGAATACTTTTTCTTGTTAGTTTTCAACGTTATCAAATAATATGATAACATTGAAGGTATAAAGTAATCTTGTATGTTGCTGTTCACATCACAAAAACGGAGTACTTAAAAACTCTTGAGTGATTTATAAACGAGCCACGGTAATTAATGCATATTTCATCTATTAAGTAGTATTATTCAATGAGAATTTACTAGATATAAAGAAAAGGAGTTCATTCGTTTTAACCTTTTTGTTTTCTTACCCAAAGATATCACAAGTATCTGATAGCATGTATTGACAATCCTTTTAAACGATACACCAAAGAAGAAATGTTAAAAGTTCCTATATAGACTTGATTATAATATAATGGCTTGAAGCAGTTCTTTATTATTTGTATGAGTTAATATGTTGATAAGGTTGGAGGTTCGAAACTGGTTCCATGTATCCGAATTGAATCTTGTTGGCCGATTTTTAACACTGCAGTTTCCTGATGAATTTAGATACATCATAAATAGAGTTTGACAAGCGATTAATGTTTTTCAGGTAGCTGGAATCCACAGATATTAGTCTATGTTGGTTCGTAGTTGTTTGATCTATAATAATCTAAGTTTTTATATGCTAACAAAATATGATATTATTCTTTAAAAGTTAACTTTTAAAGCAATAATTTAGATTAAATCGAATTTCTGATCACTCGATGGCCATATTATCAAAGTATAAATTAGACAAATATCAATTTGGTACCGATGTTCGAAAAGGACAACAACTCTATGGATTATCGGGAAAAATAATATACGAAGGCAAATGGATATCACGAAGAAATGATTCAATAATTATTGTTGAAATGAACGAAGCAATTGCCGAACGTGAAGCTAGTTTTTATTTAGAAGTCAATGGTCATCATAATATTATTCATACATTTGGTTGTGTTGAAAATAGTTTAAATTTAACAATATTTGTACAAGAATTTGCAGAACTGGCAGATTTAGCTGGTGTGTTAATGGATAATCAATTTAATATTTCTCAAACAATATTAGTCGAAATGTTTTTACAGATTTCTGATGCAATGAGTTTTATTGCACGTAAAAAAATTGTACATTGTGATTTAGGTTGTCGAAATGTACTTGTTTTTAATGTGGATCCAACTGAAGCAAAAAATAATCTAGTTAAAATCACTGATTTTGGTCTTGCACGTTGGATTGATGAACCTCCTTCTAATGAAAATGAATCAGTTATACCAGTTCGATTTTGTGCACCGGAAATTCTTCGAAATAATCGCCATTCCGATTATTCGGAAAAATCTGATGTGTATTCTATGGGTGTTTTAATGTGGGAAGCTTTATCAAATAGTGAAATTCCTTATTCATCAATTGCTGAAGATGATGATGTCATACGAATAAAATTAAACAATGAAAAACTTAAAAAGCCCCGTGATTGTGATCATCAACTTTGGGTACTCATGACTAAATGTTGGCACGAGGATCCAGAACAACGGCTTACTTTTGAGGACATCAACAATAAATTATCAAACATAAAAATTTCTGAAGTAGCACACCATCGAACATCTGGTTCATCCGACAAGTAAGAAATTTCTACTTAACTCAATTTATTTTTCACAGTGTAGCATTATGTTAAGTGCAAATTTAATTCCAGGTTTTTAACTTCTCTTCTCGCTAATAATGTTTTATGAATGATATAAAAATATTTTGCATTGATTTGAGTGTTGCACAATATTTAAAAGCATTTCATGAACTTTAAATTGGTATAAAAAACAGTTAATGCATTGATAAATTCTTTTTTTTTTAGGACACGAATACACTATGATTATAAACTTGGTGATCACGTGAAGATAAACGGCTCGCTGAATCGTCCATTACCTGCAATTCATCAAGCAGAATGGTTGACAGAAGAAACATCATCGATTGTGTTGATTGAGAGGAAGGAAGAACTATCAGAGAGTGAAAAATTATTATATACAACATACAAAAAACATGATCATCTCGTTTATACATATGGATTTGTGGAAAATAATCGTGGATCCATAATGATATTACAAGAGAAAGCACCTCATGGTAATCTTCGAGCACTACTTGAAAGCGGTCAATTCAACCCATCTGCAAAAGTTCTCATCGAAATTTTCTTTCAAATTCTTGATGCTATGATTCATATTGTTGATCAAGGACTTGTACATGGTGATTTACGTTGTGAAAATGTTCTTGTCTTTGAGATGGATCCATCTAATCCAAAAAGAAACCGTGTTAAACTGGGAAATTTTGCTTTAGCACATGAAAACGATCCATCACTAGTTGATGATAGACGACTTGTTATTCCAGTACGATATTGTGCTCCGGAAATTCTTCGAAGTGCAGGTCGATCAAATTATTCTGAATTATCAGATGTTTATTCAATGGGCGTTTTGATGTGGCAAGCTTGGTCGAACGGGAAGCTTCCATATGAATCCTCAACACATAACAGCGAAATTCGACAACGCAAATTGAATGGCGAAATATTATCAAAACCATTCATGTGTGATCCGCAAATTTGGGCAATTATGAGAGATTGTTGGAATAAAGAACTAATTTGCCGATTCGATTTCTCAGGCATAAAAACTCGATTATCTCAAGTTAATATTGCGTAAGTATAGTAAATACTGTTTTGCCGTGATATCCAATATAGAATTAAAAATAAGCTTCAGATTTGCAATAGTGAACAAAACAACAACATAAAACTAGTCAAAATCTGAGTAAGAATGTATACTATGGCTTTTGTTTTATGAGAAACAAACTTTTTTTTGAAATTTGAAATACAATTTGATTCCAGCATTAGTTGATTCACTATCAAACGAAATCTTTTTGTTTTTGTACGCTTAACTGTTCTATATTGCTTTGCTTTAAAGAATAAAACTCAATGGTGTATTACTGGACAGAAACATTGTAATAAGCATAAAGATTTACAATATTGCAGCAAAGCTAAAAGTTATTAAACGTTGAGCACGAGAAAGTGTATACTTTTTAGATGTTTTTAAGTATAAAAGCACGTATTAAATACAATTTTCCCAAAATTGAAATATTCTTTGTATTTTTTAGTTCAATAGAGACTTATAAGCATGAACTAAATGTTGACGTCAAACAGTTACGTCCACTAAATGGAAAATTTTATGAAGCAGAGTGGATTCCAAAGAAAGATCAACAACCAATCGTACTTATGATCATGAACGAAGAAACAGCAGAACAAGAAGCTTTATTTTATACGAAATTCGAACGTGAACCTCATATAGTTGATACTTTTGGATTTGTGAAAAATGATCGTAAATTGATTATGTTACTACTGGAACGAGCATCTCATGGTGATCTGCAAACATTATTGGAAAATGGAGAGTTTCAACCGTCAGAAAAAGTACTTGTGGCAATCTTTTTACAGATTATCGAAGCAATGATTTATATTATCAGTCATAAGACTGTACACGGGGATTTGCGTTGTGCCAATGTGCTTGTCTTTCAAATGGATGCATTCGATTCAAAAAGAAATTTTGTTAAATTAACTAATTTTACTATGGCTTGTCCAATTGATCATCCAGTCTCAAAGAAAAGAGTACGTGAAGATTTAATGAAATACTATGCTCCAGAAATTTGTCAATTCAACGATAGATCGATATATACTGAATTATCTGATGTTTATTCAATGGGTGTGTTGATGTGGCAAGCTCGTTCAAAAGGAGCAATACCCTTTAGTCATCGTACAAGTGATGGTAATATTCAGGAACAAAAATCGAGTTACAAGGCATTACCAAAACCGAAGCACTGCAATAGTGAACTATGGAGCGTCATAGAAACTTGTTGCTGTAATGAACCTAGTATAAGAGACAATTTTGAAAAAGTGAAGACTCAGCTTTTGATAATCAATTTTGAGTAAGTGATTGAATTACCCATTGGCTAATCTAAGAACGCCTGAAATCGCTCTAAATTGATATGCAATTCAGTTGCCCCTCCTCTCACTAGAGTCCACCGAGCCCAAGAATTTCTGAAACCGGACCCGATCAGGTCGAGGTAACACCCGATGGGCTCTACTCCCACTCAGTTAATTGAGTAAACTATTATTGCGTAATAGCCTCTTTTAATACGTTAATATATAAGACTATGTACAAAAATAAATAACGGTACCCATCGCCCATCTGAAGAACATTTTTTCGAAATGGAGGAATTTACAAGTTTATTTTAACTATTGTAGTGAATTTCACACTAAAGTAGCTACTAAGAGATATTTTCAGAATATATGACGAAAAGATTTCTTTTGATAAATTGCCAAGAATCCCACATAATCAAATAAGTAACATATTTCGTCTATTTTAAAACTAGTTTTGCTTCTTAGATGGTTACTAAAATAATATATATGTGACAGTTGAGTTTGAAATCTAGTTGAGATTGGAATATCATTTTACAATTTTCTAATAGCAAATACCATTAACATTAGACATGCACCGAGCCCAAACTTTCTGGGTTTGGTTACTCCCGGAGTTCGATTATTCCTGGGGTTCGACCGGTATTAGGGATGGGCCCAATCCAAATCTTTGTTTGAGTTTGTCTCAGACTCACTAGTATTTGGATTTGACTAGTGAATTGCTACCAAAGGTAATCGGGGACGGGAAATCTGAACCTGCTATCAGATTTTCGAAATTTTGAGCTAGATTTTTTTGATAATTGTTTCTCAAAAAGTTGGTATTTATGCAAAAAAAATTCCGTAGAAATCCTAGTGACAATCTCTGACGTTTCCGGGCTAGATCCTTAATGTGTCCTATCAGGATTCTTCAAAGATTCGCTGTTTTTTTCTATGAAAACAAGAAAATCCTGAAGTAAGAGTGTAGCCATGGAATTTCAGGTTCTGGCAAGATTTGAAACAGGATTTAATCAGGATTCTGAATGGATCACGACTATTTTTGAATAAGGAATCGTTCATGAAACTCTTTCATGCTGAAAAAGTTTGTAGTCATGGAATTTCAAGGTCTTGACTAGTTTATCACTTGATTTAAAATCACAAGCCCGTTCAGAAAACCGTAATTGCTGCAAGAAACGTGTAGCAAGCGAATATTCCAGATTTCGACTAGATAGAAACGAATTGCAGATCTTTCGCGTCCGTTTTGGTGTTGATGTGAGTGTTTGTTAATCTTATCCTAACTTGCATCCCGACCTGAGCTTTAGTTTTGTATGTCTGTTAAGATCCTCTCCTAATTTAGCAGCAGTTCTTGACCAGGGTTTCTGATTGTTTTTGGGAGTGAAGGTGGGGGGGGGGGGGCGTAGACTAAAAAAATTTGGTAGAAAGTGTATAATTTTCTCGCAGAAAGTCGACGTTTTTGCAAAAAAGTTTGAGCCTACTAAAAATCGGAAATTCTTCGTTAGTGACAAAGACTAGTAATCATGATTTATTCGATATAAAAGTTTCTCAATATAAAATTATTTCGAAGCGAAAAAGCACAAATGTTTTAGTAATTAGTCTTCATCACTGTTTCAGATGCATATATGAATATATGCGACTTAAGAGAAGATGGCGACACATAACAGCAGAAATGAAATCGACTTTCTGCGAAAAACTTCACAGAAAGCATCTTTGGTTTAATTTTATTCCAGTAAATGCAGAAGTTTTCTGCTGAACTGAACTTTGAAAATTCCGCAGATATTATTATAAAAGGTTTCGGCAGAAAGTCTGAAATTTCGGGGGAGCCTCCCTGCCCCCAATCGGGAGCCCTGTTCTTGACAGGATTCTCGTATCAGCGTTCAGAGCAGATCCTGACCAGAACTTGATAAAATCTTGGCATAATTCTCTCTGCTATTCTTGTCAGTATCCTAGGTAGGATCGAGTCTGAATCCTTGCAGGATTCTATATTCTTACTTTAGAAAAAAACTGAGCAGGATCTTGAGGAAATCCTGAAAATGATCCTATTTAGCCGTGACAAATCCTGCAAATAGGAATTATCAAGATTTCACATAGGATCCTGAACAAAACTTGATAAGATCCTTCCACGATTGAGACTAGGAATAAGTTTGGTACAAAAAGCGTGAGGTTTTAGAAAAAGACTTCCTGTTGTAAGAAATTGAAGCTAAAGTTTCGAGAATCTTGTTTCAGATTTCGTGTCCCAACCACAATTACCTTTGGTAGAATTTTATACAAAATCGTTGTTTTCGCGAAAAATCCTTTCCTTAGCCGAAAAAATCAAACTCCAAATTTTGAAAATCTGATTGCAGGCTTGGATTTCCCGTCCCCGATTACCTTTGGTAGCGATTCACTAGTCAAACCCCGGAAATAACCGAACTCCGCGAATGACCGAACCCAGAAACGACCGAACCCCGGGAATGACTGAACCCGGGAATTCCGGTCTGTTCCTGGGTTCCGTGCATGACTACAATAAATACTTTTTAATGAATATCACAATAATTCCTCTTTACTTTTTCGAAAAGGCGCATTCATTTTACTCGATGCAATTATTGTGGTGAACGATGCCTTGGCAGTCAATTAGCAGAACATCAGGTTTAAACATCATTATTAGCTTATTTAACTGATATTTTGTTTTGTAGGAAACATGTCCATCAAGACCTGCGTATGTCAAGCATTTTCATTTTATGAACATTTATTTTACAGAAAAATTTGGTACAATATTTTTCATTTTGTTTTCTGCATAGACCCACTTTTGTTGTTTTTTGTAATTATTGCGGCGACGAATATCGAAATGATGAAATAATACATCATCAGGTAGAGAGACTACTACTTAATACATCAACATATGTTTCTTTTGCAGGAACATTGTTCATCGAAAGCTACTCCTCCTCTCAATTATAAGTAGGTCAACAATTAATCTTCGCGGATTAGCTATGACGAATTTTTTATATAGACCTTTTCGGTTCATTCGATGTAATTATTGTAATGATGAATATTTGGATACTGAAATAAAAGAGCATTCGGTATGAGCAAAACCATAACTCTTATAATCTAATGTGTTTTTTCAAGAAAACCTGTCTATCAAAACCTCAACCTTCTGTCCATCAGCCTTCAAAGTACGCAGAGTTATCTTTAAAAGAACTTAATGATATTGAAAGTTATTTTACGATATAGACCCTCTGCATCCTCAAAAGTTAACACCAATGATCCTCGTCGCAATTCACGAGATAAAGACATAACTCATGAAGTATGAAAACAATTATATTGATTTTAGTGATTTTTATTTTATTTCGAAGAAATCACGTTCATCGAACCCGAAACCGGATAGTCCGAACCGCTCGCGGTATACACACAGTTATTTTTTTAATGTTTATTATGATATTTTATGTGTTACTTAATACAGACCTGTCCGTCTTACTGAATGCAGATATTGTCATCATGAATATCCTTCAGTTGGTATTAGAAATCATGGGGTATAATAGAGAAAAGTATTTCTTGTATCGATTAAGTTTTCTTTTTTCTTCTTCAGCAATCCTGCTCAATGAGACCTCCACCTCCAACACAAAATACACAGTATGCAAAGAATAATTTTTTAAAAACTATTATAATAATTATATGATTTATGTTTTGTTAGACCCGTATATATTGCCTGCAGATATTGCAATACAAAGATTTTACAGAATAGAATACAAGCACATGAGGTACGGTCGACACGAGTCATTTTATTAATATTAATAATCTTTTGTAGAATACATGTCGACCAAAACCACAGTATGCACGCAATCAGCTTCATTCACGAAGACTCATTTTACTCTTTTTCTTCGTAGAACTTTCATGGATCGACTATGTTCATGGATCAGTGGTTGCTGTGAAAACGACTAGTTCTGTGAAGATAATTATTGTTACATCTGTAACAAAAAAAACACATTTGTGCATAGTTGGATGCATACTTTTAAACTTGAACTTGTGAGAGCATTCAATCGAAATGAGACAAGTGAATATTTATTTGATTGTATACATACTAAGTCTTTGTCGTAAATCAATTTTTCTTTAGATTGTTCATATGTCTTAATTTATATAAAGAAATCGATTGATTATTCCTTTTTTCAGAACAATTATTGACAAAATTAAATTTGAAAAACTCAAAATCATAGTGTTTGATTTCCAAATCATATTATGGAATATAGTATTCAACATACGTCTAGAGTGAGATAGGTTTTAAAACATCCCAAAAAGGCACAATTCTACGCTCTATAGAATATATTCATATAAAATATGTCCTCATGATTTAGACTTCTTTACAATATGAAAAGGAAGACAAAATCATTTCGAAATTCTCTTCGTTGTTCGTGTTGCGACGTTGGAAAGAAAGTATCGTGGTGTATGTTAAAGTTATAACTTTCAGGTGATTTTCAGAGATCGTTTTCTGTCTATTATTGTTTTTCCAAATGTGTTATGTGATCGATTTAGAATTTAAATGCATTCAATAATAGGTTGATTGATTCAAAGCATAGAGAATAATCTGCAATTACGAATGCGTGTTGGCGGTCTTGGTTGCATAAACATTTTAGAAAATACAAATATTCCTACATTTCATTTCATTGCATAATCCATACTTAATATCTATGAAAAACATTTTGAGTGCAGAATTTTAAGACATGAGTTCAGATTATTCATGGTCAAAAAATGAGTAGAATATTGAGTTTGATTTTTTTTCGTATAATTTTTAACAATCTATGTCAAACAAAATAATCCGGTGTGTTTAAGATACTTATTGACACCGTTTACGACCGTAAACTAGCCATTTTTTCATCGTTTATTGCCCGAAAACGGCCTGTAAATGATATCCATTTTGATCGACTTGAGTCGAGTTAGTTCTAGAATGCTACACTAAAAGCGGATATCATCATTACAAAAAACTAAATAATTGAGCAGAAAGCAGAGATATAGACGATAGTTTTAATAAAGATATATTTCGAGTTTGTCAGTCATATATAATTTTACAAATACAATGATTTTTATTTGAAATTTTAACAATTTTCGCCACTAAATTAGATACATTTACTTCCGTTGAATTATTGTTGTGTATACAATTTTCTTGTCGAGAAATTTGTTTTAACTTTGAATGGGTCTCGATAAAAGCGAGTAAAACAGGTAAACTTTTTTTCACTGGTTTGATTATTTTTGAATTCTAATTGAGATAATGAATTTTGTAATGAAGAGAGAATAGCTTGAAAACCAATGTCACCAATTTCACTTGTATCCGCTGTGAGACTTTGTAGAACTTGATTGTTCTTTAAATAATTAGCCAACTTAATGCAATCTTCGTCGCTAAGCTAATTATAGTACAAATTGACATGTCTGATTTTGTTGTTATTTTCAAGAAGTTTTCCCAACTCGTTGAGAGCTTCGAAATCCATTCCTATGATTTCAAATTCGTTGATAGAAGGGTGTGAGGGTGGGGTGTTCTACTCATCTACACCCATATCCTAAGACACAATTTTTGTGGAAGTTTCATCTTGCGGCAACGGTCTCTTATAGAGATATGATTGCATTACCGAAACTTACTGTTTGTGAAAAAGTCAAAATTTCGATAAAAAGATAGAGATCTTCACTTTGGTCGTATTTTTAAAATACTTCAACGAATGCCAGAAAATATTCAAAGAAGGATAAAAATGTAGAGTATTCGACGCTCTATACAACTGCATATAATTCAGTTTTTTTCATTCTCATAGTATGAAAAAATCGTGATCCTATTGAGAATCATACTTTACAAAATTTTTCCTATTTTTGCATCAATTTCATAAACACGTATTTTCACTATAACTCCTCTTCAAAAAGGCATATCAACCTGAAAATTGTATGGTGAATGTATCTCACTTAGTTCTACTAGAAGCCCAAATTTCATTGAATTTGGACAATTTTTTCGAAAACCGGTGGTGTTCTTTTATAATGAAACGATCGATGATGATGAAGACGAAGGAGAAAATATGACTTCATCAAAAACAAACTTTAGTGATATAAAAATTTTAGATAAAATTCATCCGCATATAAAGGATTCATACTTCAGAATCAAGATTAATGAGAATTATCGATATTTACATAAACAATCAGTATGTTGGCTCTTAACTGATACAAGCAGTCGTTTATCAAATGATCGTCTTTCTCGTATCATTGAAACAAGCAGAAAATATTAATACCGATACTGTTTGTTTTCTTATGATTTTCTTTATTTTTACTTTTTAATAATTATCTTAAGCTAACAAAAACTGTCTTCTTTAGAGAACGTACTGAGTTCAGGGTACCCATGTACTGAGAAAGCTCTAGCAGAGTACCCAGTATGGGTAGTTTGAAAATTCTCAGTAATTTTACTGATGTATGTCCTGTTTGGTGTATCCGTAAAAGTACATTAACTGAATAAGTACCTGCATGGATACACAAGTCTGTAACTTTACTGAGGAAAGCTCGACAGGGTATCCTAAATTTGTCGCGTTCTGTGTGGCGACTATTCATTCACCGTTTTCTTTTTTACGTCCGGCTCTATATAAACAACTCGATAAATCATAAGAAAATAGTCAATTTTCATACTAATTTTTTCTAAATTATTTCTTGACTATTTCTTAGTCGAGGAAATGCCGAGCTTGGTCGTAAATTAAGATCGGACTACCCTGAAGTGGTTCACGACCAACTCAAGTTGAGTCGGATTCCGACATTGTTCCTGCTAAGTTTTTGGAATTGAAAAAATTAAATTGAGTAAAGTAAAAAAAATGTAGTAAATTATCTCAAGAAAAAGAAAAAATTTTAAAGAGTCAAAGATCAGGTTCGATCCTGAACATACTGAAAATTTGGTGACAGGGTACTTCGAAATATTATACAATGGTACCCAATTTAGTACTTGATCAGTACCTTTAGGTACCCAATTACTGTGCATTTTCCAGCAGGGTACTTGCCAAAGCACCACTTAGGTACCTGTAAGTACCTGCAAGTACTTTGGTACCCAAAAGTTCCTGTGACATACTGGTATCAGGGTACTTTTTTTGGGTACCCTTAACCCAGTATATTCTCTAGGGTTATCTTTCTGTAAACATATCTATACTTATTGGTACTTTCCTATACTTCTAGATACTTCTTAGTAATTCTTTATACTTCTCAGTACTTCCTGATACTTGTTGGTACTTCTTGATACTTCTTGGTACTTTTTTTTATACTCCTCGGTACTTCTGTACTTCTTCGTACTTCAAAAGCACAGAAGTATGCTTTTACTCCCTTGGAACAAAGAAACAAATGCACGATACTTATAAATTATAGATACAGTGTAATGTCATTATGAGTTATTGCGAAAATCACACACATGATGCTTGAATGAATATCTATAGTTAGATGATTTTCCAATGCTCTGTAAAATTAATCCGAATTCAACTGTCATCTTCTAATTTCTTGGATTTTAATACATTAAGTTTAAATGAAATATGCTATGCACAATTTTCAATGGACAAAATTTGAGCGAATCTGATTGCTTTTTTTTCTGTAGAAGTCCTTATAACAATTGTTGAGATTCGTCTATCTCAATGTAGTCATATAAGATCAAGAGATGAACATAATGAAGATGTCAGCAAGGTGGTAGAAAATGGGTGATCGGAGATATTATTTTAGTGAAAGAAAAACAAAATAATTATTTAATTTACAACTGCTTTGGAAAAACTCTCTAGAATTTGAAGTGACAACTTCCAAAATCTCCCTTTTGTGAGAATGAGCATTCACATGAAATATGTTATCTACAATATATGTCATACAACTATAACGTTCATAGAAAATCGATTCATTAGACCTTATAGTAATCGAATGCAGAATTTTATTATGAATTAAGTTTGTAGTTATTGATTGTTAATATCGTCCTATGATATTATTCAGATCACTTCGACGGCGCTACTACGTTCTCTTTTCAAGTCAACTATCTCAGATTGGAGCTCAAAAATGTATTTTACAATTGAAGATGATCCTGAAGCCAAGCCGACTTATTCTGCTAGATTTACGGGATTTATTACATTTTCCACTAAGAGAAAATTACAGTGAAACATTTCTGTTGCTTACTGTTTAGTATGAAAGCCAATTGATGCTAACCTGCTCCATTCTAATGAAGCCATTTTAGCTTTGTATGATTTAACCATAAATGTTTTAAAACAATTTTAGCTAATGATTGAGAGAAGAAAAAAAATGCCATAACATCTCTTTTCTAACTATACAATTATAATGCAATGAACTCATGATTTCATCACTTAAATTACATGGTTTAATGATCATAAGGAATAATACCTTAATTTGAACAGAAAGATAGTGGTAAATTAATCAATAAGATTAAACGAATTGTTTTAGTTTGAAAGTATTGTTATCGCATCGATAATAATTGTATAGAGCATAATATGATGACTAATCGTTTAAAAAACGTGTTTCAGACAAACTTGTAGATTTTTTTATTTTCGATTCTAAACCTTAGCATCCTTGTTTATAAAAAAAAGCATTTTATATATATATTGAGAGAAACATAATATGAAAACTAATTACTCTGATAAGTAAATCTAATTAAAGAGTTTTTTTTTCAGAAGACTTATGCATCAAACTTAATTGTAACGCCAACATGTTTAGGCATGACTATCATTTTTTGCAAATGTCCACCAGCATTGACTTCAGATCCACCATCTTCAAATGTTACATGTTGCATTAGCTTAGCAAGAATCACTTTCAATTCAAATCGAGCTAAATCTTGTCCAATACATTGACGATGTCCAGCACCAAATGGCAAAAATGCATATGGATGATGATTTTTATCTTCATCTAAAAATCGTTCGGGATAGAATAATTCCGGATCAACTTTCCAATATCGACTATCACGAGCAAGAATAGAAAATGGAATAATCACTTGGTCACCTTTGTATAATTGAACACCACTATTCGGTAAACGATCATCAACAGTTAATGTTCGAGCTGTTCCGTCAGCAGGTGAAGAAAAACGAAGTACTTCTTTGATAACACAATCCAAATAAACAAGTGAATCGAGACGATCCACAGTTAGTATTTGATTAACATTGTCATTGATTAATTCAGCTTTAATCTTTTGTTGAACTTGTGGATGTTTACTTAATAAATGAATAGACCATGCCAAAGCAGTAGATGTTGTTTCAAAACCAGCCATTAAAAACATTAGCATTTCGTCCAATACTTCTTGTCGTGATAAACCTATCAATCATAAAGCAAAACCAACAGAGTTCTCATTCGTATACTAAAAAAAGGATATATCTTCTAAGGTAAAAATTAAGTCAAACATAACATAACACATCACAATAGATCAAAAAATGTTTGTTCTATTAATTAGACACCAGCTATTTTTTTTTAATGTTTGAAAAGTAAAACTATTTATTGGAAATTATATCTTACCTTTTTTCTCTTCTTCACTTTTTTTTGCTTCAGCTATTTCATCAGTTTGTAATGAATCAACAAGTGAAGCAATTAAAGATGTTTTCTTTCGTTGAGCTCTTGATTCATCAGTTTCATTTAATTCTTGTTCTATCATTCGATATAAATATCGTTCAGCGGTTGCACGATCTCGTCGATATTGAGGACTTAATATTGCATACATTCTTAAGATAAAACTTGGTAAAAAAGCAGTTAGTTCAACCATATTGATAAAGTTTCTTAGAGTCTGTGTAAACTCGTTAGTATTGCTTCCATTTATCGTTTCCAAATCATAATCAAATGCAATTAATCCAAAAATTTGAAGTAAAAGATTTTGACATTGTTGTACAATATCACAATGTATGTGCTCATTTGAAAATGTACGCCAATTGTCCAATAATTTCTCAGTACAATCGATAATTAAATCGAAATTTGAAATAATTTTAGCTCGACGAAATAGGGGCATAGTGAGTGCAGCATGTCGTTTGTGTTTAGCTCCTAGATATTGTCAAATACGAGATTATTCAAATAAAATCTATAAAAAAACCGACCTTTTAGAGTAATGAGACCATTTGGAAAAAGAGCGCCTACTAGTTCTACGGCCCAATCACCTTGATCATAAATATGTCGATGATTAAAAATATGTTGAATGTCGTCGATATTACCGATAATGAAAGCATGAACCAACCCAAATTGAAGTTGATAAATATCACCGAAACGATTTTTCAGCGATGTATATATTTGAGGAAGAGAATTTCCTTTGAATAATCCAGTTTGAAGTAAATTACCAAATAGAAATTGAGGTGGCAAACCGGGTACTGAACTGCGAAATGTAAAATATTTTAACTTTAAATAAATGATGAATGCAACGATAAATGCCAAAAATAGTATGAGCCACATTGTATGTAAATGGGTACGTATTGACCTTGATTTACTTTCTCTGAAAGAAAAGAAATGATATAATCATATATGGCCGCTCGTAATCTATATGTGTTGTGTTCTTTGCATCGCACAGTAGAAAAAACTATAAAAGAACAGTAATAACTTATCAAACATTTGTCGAGAGGATGGAAAGAATATATAGAATTGAAGCAAAATACAACCAGTCGTTTCTTCATACCATTTTTACCAAAATATGGAAGGAAAAAATCGACTTGTTTTTTTCTGAAATGGAAATTTATTTGTTCTAATAATGAAGATTATTGGTCAGATGTTGGCGTGTTCGAAATGTCGTATTACGAAAAATTTTTTAAAAATCAGATATTAAAAATGAGTTGATTCTTTTTCTCGTCATAGAGAAGAGTTCCAACTTATATTTACAAAAAAAAAAGTTTTAAATTCCAGTAGAAGAAAGTTTACTTTATATATACTTCGATTTTTTCCTTTTAATTCATGGATCCTCATTGAATTTGTTGGCTTATTCACGGTTATAAAAGCTTTTCTGAATAATTTTTTATGCATAAAATTTCAGAAATCCCGAGAGTTTACACTTACCCTTCATAAAAACACTGAATTTTTCCATTGAACCAATTCGTGGTTGTTTTTTATTAATTATTCTTAAACTTTTCTTAATAAATAAGAACTTGAAATTCTCCTCGATTACAAGAAAAAAAATTAACACATTGAATTATACCCAATGAAGATATTCGAATTTTTATTTAGACTTCTTACATAGCCACATTTGAGTGTCAATGGGATAGGTTCAACAACAGTTGAGATTGCTAAGAGTTGTCTAACTTTGAAAGCTTACAAAAGCTTCTCATCGTTTAGATTCGACTAAATCTTCAATTAACGAGATAGAAGACAGCCTCATCTCTAATTTCATGTAAAATATCAGTAATATTATTAATAGAAAACACATTCCCAGAGTTGATTTAGATATTTTCAAATGAGAATGCAATTAAACAAAGGAGTTGTCTAAAACTAAATATAAAATTGATTTTAGCTGGCCATCGACTCCTCCTCTTTTTCCTCTTTTCTTTTAAACTCCTCTTTTTATCCTCTTTTTCATCAAAAAGTGAAGTGTACAGAGAAAAACTTAGCATAGATCAATTTTTCTAGCAATAGTAGGTTCATGTATGATAGTGAACACTGATTGTTTTTTTCTTGTTTTTCTTTTTCACACTGAGAAAACACTATCCCTATAAAAATACTATATACAACTATCTTAGATAGAAAAAGAACTAAAAAGGAACTAAGTTGCCACAAGATACGCAACCGCAGTTAAAAATGATGGAAATTAATTGATTGAACTTCAATCGACTTTTACAACACCCAATGTGGGTAGTAGAGATAATAATAACTTTGATAGACTGTTTGACATCCCTAATTCAATTACAATATAATGTAACATAACAGGTGTTGCAAAAGTTCCTGGAAAAATGCCAGACTGTTGTGCAGGGTGTTACATAACCTTCTTCTCCCCCTCTATCAACTTCAATTGTAAATGATATTACAAAGTATTATATACCAAATTAAAGCGCGTCAAAAACTGCATTCATTGGTACTAAATAATAAAGGTTATGAACACCTTTTAATAAGACATTCTGAGAAATTTTATACTTTTTTGGCGTAAAAATTTAAGATGCTAGTAATCCAAAAATGGAGTAAATTTTTTTCTTGGATATTTTTCATGATTCGATAGAGCTCGTTAAGCTCTACAAAACTGTATACTTCGAAAAAATTTTGAGCCATTTTTTGGGACAAAAAATTCAAAAAACTACTTGGAAAATCTCAAAAATGTCAAAAAAACTCATTTTTTATCATATGGAAAAAACACTCGATTTTTCAACAATATTAGCTTTTTTCATTACTTATGCTACCTCAGACATTTCGAAACCTATTTCTTCGATACAGTTTTTCACACAGCATCGAATGAGCACATTTCAAAATATCTGAGGTAGCATAAGTAATGAAAAAAGCTAATATTGTTGAAAAATCGAGTGTTTTTTCCATATGATAAAAAATGAGTTTTTTTTGACATTTTTGAGATTTTCCAAGTAGTTTTTTGAATTTTTTGTCTCAAAAAATGGCTCAAAATTTTTTCGAAGTATACAGTTTTGTAGAGCTTGACGAGCTCTATCGAATCATGTAAAAATATCCAAGAAAAAAAGTTTACTCCATTTTTGAATTACTAGCATCTTAAATTTTTACGCCAAAAAAGTATAAAATTTCTCAGAATGTCTTATTAAAAGGTGTTCATAACCTTTATTATTTAGTACCAATGAATGCAGTTTTTGACGTGCTTTAATTTGGTATATAATACTTTGTAATATCATTTACAATTGAAGTTGATAGAGGGGGAGAAAAAGGTTATGTAACACCCTGTATATGTGGATCAACAGGACCCCATAAATCAGGATCAAAATGTAAACCATACATATCAACAGCAACACATGTACCTACTGGAATCGTACCAATATTTTTTATATTAAGCTCTTCTGTACTTTGACGATTGATTACTACTGGTGCAATCGGATACATGCGAAGTGTTTCTCGAATAAACATATCTAGATACTCGATTTGAGATATAGCATCGTACGATAGTATATCATCTTCATCAGTCTCAGGATTAAAGTAAGCATCGATATTTTCTTGTAATTTTACTTGTTCATTTGGATGAGTAGCAAGAATATAAGAAATATAACTGAGTGCTGTACTCGTCGTTTCATAACCAGCAACCACTAATTACTCAGAAATAATTTTAAAAAAATGATCACTACTTTAACGTTAGATCTCACTCAATAGAAGAATATTAGCTGCAATCTCATGTTTCGTTAGTTTTCGAATAATTGATACTTCATCACCATCATCTTTTTGTTCTTTTTTCATAGTTAACGGTTGATCATCCTAGAGAACAGCAAACGATTTCTTTCTTTTTAGTTTTTTCTTTCTCTATGGAAAAAAATATTGTGTCATACTTGAATAAAATCCTCGTTTGATACTGATTCAAGCATTAATTTGATTACATCTGTTCGATTTGTTAGACTATTTTGTTGATGTTCATCGATAATTTTGTATGCTTCTCGTATGATCCGTGTGTATGGTTCTTCTTGAATATAATTATTTGTGAAGGGAAAAATACGTCTAAGCCAATAACGTATGAAACTGTTAATATATCGCAATTTTATCCAAACATAATTTAATTCTTTGATAAATAGAGATAAAAGTACTAAGACTTTAGCAGAATTTTGTTCTTCGAAATAACGTTGTGAAGAAATCAAATATGGATCATTGATATTATTTTGCATATCTGTATCAATTCCAAAAACACATGACCATAAAGTATCCATAGCAAATCGTTTAAAATATGGATAGATATCAAATGATTGACCTTTATTATATTCTTCTATAATTTTTTCATAAACATATTAATACATCGATGAATCATTGGTGACATTTGTTTGAGTTTAGTCGATGAAAATATTGGATTGATAATAAGTCTTTGGCGTTTCCAACAAAGACCGATAGCATAAAACAAATGTACTTGTTTAGTATGTTGTTCAGGGTGTGGGTCCTTCGAAATAACCAAATATACGACCATATTTTTCTGTATATTGTTTAATGGAAATTGATGTTCGTTTGTTTCTAACAAGATCGAAAAAATTACCAAAGAAAAATATTGGTGATGAACCAGGAATATTTAATCGTCTGAAAAACTCATAGGTCTTTCGAATATGTAAAAAATAAGTAACAACAATAGCCAAGAGAACAACAATCAAGATGCTCGTTAGTAACAACATATCTACCTCAATGTCAACTAATAATGCATAGACAAAACATTCTTGTATCCTATATTTAGTAATTATACCGTTCTTATCTGACGATTTATACAATATTGCGTTTATTTCTATAATATACATACGCAAAACATTATTTTTATTACTAGTCGCAATAAGTTATGTTTAGTGAAATAATTTATAAAACAAAATCCCTAATAAAATAATATTAAAATTCGAGTTCAATCCAAGCCCTGAAATTATTGAAACAAACATATTATCAGTACTATTATTTGTTTTTGTATTTTGATCAAATTAAATTTGATCATGATCAGTTTTTTTTTGTTTACTGTCAATGTATAAATTTTTTCCTATTAGTAAATGTTAGATTATTGTTTTCAAGAGACTTCTTATTAAATAGTTTGATATATAAAATGTGATAAATGTTGTATTTGTTTTTTTTGTTTATTTCTTTAAACTTTAAAACGAATCGATTTCTATTATTTTTGTTAGACAGCACTCTAACAAACTTTCATTTTAGTTTGTTTATCGTTCTTTGTCGTTTTTCTTCTGTATGTGTAAGCGTCTCTATAATATAACACTTTCCAAAGCAATTCTCTTATGTTTACTGTTCATAAGAATTTATTCAAATTCTTCTTGTATTTTTCTCTAGATTTATGTAGGTACAGTTGTGAGTAAGAGAAAAATTATTTGCATTACCTATATTATTTAAGATATTGGAATAAATAAAAATTTGTTAATGATGTATCAAGAATAATTCGTCATAAAAATCGTTCATATTACTGAACACGCTCTTGAAGTAGCTGATTCATATAAATAACTATGAACTGAGCCAAAAATATCTTTATTAGCATCATCACTATGAATATGAAGCAAGATAGTTTGGGTCAGTCTGAAACCAGTACTTTTTCATTGGGAACGAAATTTTCAGTAACTCATCATGCTTATATCCGCATCAATAACATCATCATTTTTTGTTCCATCTAATGAACTAGGTTTAGCTATGAGTTTGAGTACAGATAGAACTGAAGCCTTCACCGACAGATCCTTATTCAACACAGCGACATCTTGGTGTTTTTGTAAATAATTCACATAAAAATCGATTATAGGCAGTATAGATATTGCATATACGACTGGTTATACGATAGCACTAGATGGAAAACGTAACAAAAAATCAATATATAGAATAGTCAAATATATGATTTAGAGCAGATGGTATGAGAATAGGCGCAAAGTATGAAGAAAAATCAGTAAACTATGTTATCGTAAGAAAGTGTAATTTGAATGTTATATAATCATCTACTTTCGATAGGTATCGACATTCTTTTGAAATATGAAATAAGAAATATCTTAATAATACAGTACTTTTTGTCTATTCTTTCAAATTGATATTCAAATAGGTTGATTATGAAGAGATTTTTTATAGAATATAATATATAGCATTGATTGACTTTTTCAACAGGTTATAACGAGAGTTCATGTTTTAATTGTGCGATATCTTGTAATTATATTCATCAAATTGGTTAACACAGATGTGTGGGAAAAGCTTTACTGTACTCTGTTTTTTTTTCGTTTTTTTTCAGTTTGACAAATGCCTGAATGATTGACGTATGGACAAAACTTGAACGAAATCATAATTTTTATTGA